TATAGCGATGAAATTCGACACACATAGGTTTCATGCAAGCCAATATCTCTCCAGCAAACTATATGTGGATAAGTCCATAATTGACCCTACCCCCCTATAAGGTCCCCTTCAGAAAATGACTTTAACGCTCATTATTGTCGTAAAAATACGAGTATAACGATGAAATTTAACACAAGTAAGTTTTATACGAGTGAAAATCTATCCACCAAATTTTATGTGGATCGGTCCATAATTGACCCTACTCCCCATATAAGGTCCCCTCCATAAAATTACTTTAACGCTCATTATTAGCTTAAAAATATGAGTATAGCGATGAAATTTCACAGAAGTAAGATTTATATAAGCCAAAATCTCTGCCAAATTTTATGTGGATCGGTCCATAATTGGCCCTACCTCCCATATAAGGTCCCCTTTTGAAAATTACTATAATGCTGGTTTCTGGGTTAAACATACGAATATAGCGATGAAATTTGACACACGTAGGTTTCATGAAAGCCAATATCTCTGCATTAAACCATATGTGGATCGGTCCATAATTGACCCTACCCCCCAATATAAGGTCCCCTTCAGAATATGACTTTAACGCTCATCATTGGCGTAAAAATACGAGTATAGCGATGAAATTTGACATAAGTAAGTTTTATACTAATAATTGACCCTACTCCCTATATAAGGTCCCCTCCATAAAATTACTTTAACGCTCATTACAACAAATTTTATGTTGATCGTCCATAATTAAATACGAGTAAAGCTATGAAATTCAATATAGTTTTGTATGAGCTAACATCTCTCTACAAAATTTTGTGGGGCTCGGTCCATAATTGACCCTACCCTTCATTTAAGGTCCCCATCAGAAAATTACTTTAACGCTCATTGCTGGCTTAAAAATGCGAAATCTCTCTACCAATTTGTATGCGGATCAGTCCATTATAACCCCACCCCATATAAATTCGCCCTCAGAAAATGACTACAATGAGAAAAATACCAATACCGCAATGCAATTCGACATAAACTAATTTTATGCTGGATATTTAATTCTCGTATGTTTTTCGCTGTTGTATACCTTTTGTAGTGTGGTGCCATGGCCAATGCCTTTATATTTCAGTGCGTCTGATTCTCTGGCTGTTCTGATGCATTGTGCTTTTAGCACTGGTAAGAGCAAGTCAGAATTGGTCTTGTTAACACAGTGCATAATGTAATATTCCCGAAGGTAGGGACCAAAATGAATCCAAGGTATTTGGCTTCATTTGAAAACTACGAATTCATTCGAAGTGGTCGAAATTCTCTGTCGAATCGAAATTCCAAGTCTCTGACTAATTTTTTTCTAGACCATATTCATGGTCTATTACTATTATATAATATAAGTTATAATTTTCGCAACTATTTTAAAAACCACTTGTGTAACACTTTTTCTTTTTGCTGTATGCTTAAGTTTTTTCTTGCAGTGTATTTTTAATAAATTATGATGCCGTAGAAAAATGTTGCGGTTAATATGATGATGCATAAACATTTACAAGTATTTATTATTTATTTGTTTATTTAGTCCACAGTTTTTAATATTAACTGAATAACGGATTTAGTATATATTCGTTTAGGCATATTGCTAAATATGGCAGAGTTAGTTGAAAAAGAAAATCCCAACGTTGTTAGTGTAATAAATGAAGATAGTGGTAGGATAAGTTAAATTTCTATAAAATTGTGATAATAATTGTTATTAGAATGCCTTAAAATATACTTTAAAATTTGAATTGTATATCTAGTGCTGTATAAACAAATTTTAAAAGAAAATATAAAAATAACAAATGAATTGAGATCATTGTGAACAAACATATAGTAAATCTCTTAATACGAGAATTTTCATATATTTTCCACACGAATAAACAACAAACACGACATATAGTGGCATTTTAGTTAAAAATTTGACAAACAATTGGCAAGTCAATGTGAAAACAAAAATTATATGTATATTAACCAAATATACATGTTAGAAAAGTAAAATACACATGTTCTGTATTTAATATTAAGCTATGTGAAGGGTGTTGTCGACTTCGGAGTGCACTACATGGTTCTGGATCGAATGAGCATTTAAAATTTCAGAGACGAAATTAAGTTGTAGTTTTAGTTCAGTTCTAAATCAGTTTTAGTTCATTTATAGTTCAGTTCTAGTTCAATTCTAGTTCAGTTCTAGTTCAGTTCCAGTTCAGTTCTAGTTCAGTTCTAGTTCAGTTCTAGTTCAGTTCTAGTTCAGTTCTAGTTCAGTTCTAGTTCAGTTCTAGTTCAGTTCTAGTTCAGTTCTAGTTCAGTTCTAGTTCAGTTCTAGTTCAGTTCTAGTTCTGTTCTAGTTCTGTTCTAGTTCAGTTCTAGTTCAGTTCTAGTTCAGTTCTAGTTCAGTTCTACTTCAGTTCTAGTTCAGTTCTAGTTCAGTTCTAGTTCAGTTCTAGTTCAGTTCTAGTTCAGTTCTAGTTCAGTTCTAGTTCAGTTCTAGTTCAGTTCTAGTTCAGTTCTAGTTCAGTTCTAGTTCAGTTCTAGTTCAGTTCTAGTTCAGTTCTAGTTCAGTTCTAGTTCAGTTCTAGTTCAGTTCTAGTTCAGTTCAAGTTCAGTTCTAGTTCAGTTCTAGTTCAGTTCTAGTTCAGTTCTAGTTCAGTTCTAGTTCAGTTCTAGTTCAGTTCTAGTTCTGTTCTAGTTCTGTTCTAGTTCTGTTCTAGTTCTGTTCTAGTTCTGTTTTAGTTCTGTTCTAGTTCTGTTCTAGTTCTGTTCTAGTTCTGTTCTAGTTCTGTTCTAGTTTTGTTCTAGTTCTATTCAAGTTCTGTTTTAGTTCTGTTATAGTTTAGTTCTAGTTCTAGTTCAGTTCTAGTTCAATTCAAGTTCAGTTCTAGTTCAGTTCTAGTTCAGTTCTAGTTCTAGTTCAGTTCTAGTTTAGTTCTAGTTCAGTTCTAGGTCAGTTCTAGTTCAGTTCTAGTTCAGTTCTAGTTCAGTTCTAGTTCAGTTCTAGTTCAGTTCTAGTTCAGTTCTAGTTCAGTTCTAGTTCAATTCTATTTCAGTTCTAGTTCAGTTCTAGTTCAGTTCTAGTTCAGTTCTAGTTCAGTTCTAGTTCAGTTCTAGTTCAGTTCTAGTTCAGTTCTGGTTCAGTTCTAGTTCAGTTCTAGTTCAGTTCTAGTTCAGTTCTAGTTCAGTTCTAGTTCAGTTCAAGTTCAGTTCTAGTTCAGTTCTAGTTCAGTTCTAGTTCAGTTCTAGTTCAGTTCTAGTTCAGTTCTAGTTCAGTTCTAGTTCAGTTCTAGTTCAGTTCTAGTTCAGTTCTAGTTCAGTTCTAGTTCAGTTCAGTTCTAGTTCAGTTCTAGTTCAGTTCTAGTTCAGTTCTAGTTCAGTTCTAGTTCAGTTCTAGTTCAGTTCTAGTTCAGTTCTAGTTCAGTTCTAGTTCAGTTCTAGTTCAGTTCTAGTTCAGTCCTAGTTCAGTCCTAGTTCAGTTCTAGTTCAGTCCTAGTTCAGTTCTAGTTCAGTCCTAGTTCAGTTCTAGTTCAGTTCTAGTTCAGTCCTAGTTCAGTTCTAGTTCAGTCCTAGTTCAGTTCTAGTTCAGTTCAATTCTAATTCAGTTCTAGTTTAGTTCTAGTTCAGTTCTAGTTTGAGAGCGGTTCTAGTTCAGTGCTAGTTCTACTCTTGTTCAGTTTGAGTTCAGTTTTAGCCCAGTTTTAGTTCAGGTCTACTTCAGTTCTAGTTTATATAGAACACTTTATTACTTTGCGTAGAGTATTACTTATTTTAAATGATGTGAATATATATGAATGAGTAGTGTTGATTATAAATATAGCACATTTAGCTGGAAGTTATTTCTCAAATTTTGTTTTATAGAAAATCATGATGACACAAAATTTATAAAGTGACCCTATTGACGCTATTGGTCGGTTAGCAGATGTGTAAATAGAAACCTTATTCTGGACTCGATAAGTACCGGGTTCCTATCATAACTTCCTCATTCAGACCATTTAAGATAAGTTAAGGTTCGGCTGTTTAAATACGATGGGGAATTGTTTGTAAGATCAATTGCTTACTTCAGGCATCACTTTGGTTTAGTGAAATAACTAGTGATTTGAAATCAAATTTTTTTTTTAACATTTTCCCTCTTCTATATTACTATTTATTTAAACATAACTGTATTTAAACACGCGTTTATATGTATATTTATCTCATATAGTATTTTCAATTTGTTTTTCCAGCTTTCTACTAATAGTTTAAACATTTAGTGTTTTTAACGCTCAGACTCAGTGGCTCGTTACCCATTAACACAAAATCACTATAATAATTTAATTAATAATAAAAATAAAACAATTTTATCTCTCAAAATTATTGTTTGTTTTTGATAAAAAAAAAAAAATTATTTATTAATTATTGAATTCTCAACGAAAACATGTTGTGCTGTGTTGTTGTATTTATGGGTAACTAAAACAACAGCAACTAGAATCGTGGGATGTTGTTGTTTATACAAATTTTGTGCATTTAGCTCAGTTGTAGCGATCTTGCTGATCTTTGGGCTAAAAGTAAAAAAAAAAAAAACGTCTAGAGCAGAAAATTTATCAAACGATTTTTACTAAATGACGAAATCATCTTGTAGCCAAGCAGCCAAAATCATGGCCATTTAAAAAAAAATTATATATTTTTTATTTTATTATATTTATTATTAATTTTTTGGTTTTGTGTTGTGTTTTGGTGTTTTCTATATAGTGTCGCGTTTTATTTTTATAAAAGTTTTTTTAAAACTGTTTTTTTTGTTTTGTATTTTTTGATTCATAGAAAATAAATCTAAACAATAATTTTGTACCAACAGTGTGTGTGTGTGTGTTTTTTTCATCTAATTTTAATCACAACAATTAAAAATAACTAGAAACAAGAAAGAACAATAACAAAATAATTTTTTAAAAAATATCAACAATAATTATATATAATTTGCAACGTTTTTTAATATTTATAAATTAAAAAATATTAAATGTTACATTCAATATTTTCAGACAACGATAATGCCTCGGATTGTACTTCATTTTATGCGGAGTATGATCCCTTTGATTATTTATACAGTGGTGGCAGTACACAATATTCAGATCCTGTCTATGAAGCTGTCAATAAATTGGATAAATCAGCCGTTAGTCCAAATGGTAAGTTTATTTGTTATTCTCGCTATAAAATACAAAAACAACAATTTTGAAAATCCAAAAAATATATATTGAATTATATATAAAAAAGTGTGTTTTTAGCGAAATGTGTTTTTTTAAGTTTAGAAAATTCTCAAAATTTTGCTCACGCATTAATTTCTGTTAATCCATTTAAAACACTTTAATATTTATAATGACTTCTAGTTTAGCCAAGAAATTAAGTTCAGATCATCACAGGGAACATGTACCATATTCAACTGATTCGTTTTAATCGATCATTGTCCGAAAAATGCACCGATTGCTCACTAAAACTTATGGTAAATGTGTTTTAACGAGTGAGAGATGGTTTTTGCGGCTCAGAAGTGGTGATTTTGATACGGATCTGTTCAGATCATCACTGGGAACCTGTACCGATGCAACTGATTCGTTTGAAGTGATCATTGTCCGAAAAATGCACAAATTGCTCAACAAAGTTTATGCTAAATGTGTTTCATCAGTTTCAACGAATGAAAGATGATTTGTACGTCTAAGAAATCATAATTTTGGAACGAAACTGTTCAGATCATCACAAGGAACATGTACCATATTCAACTGATTCGTTTTAATCGATCATTGTCTGAAAAACGCACCGATTGCTCACTAAAGCTTATGGTAAATGAGTTTTAACGAGCGAGAGATGGTTTTTGCGGCAGAAGTGGTGATTTTGACACGGATCTGTTCAGATCATCACTGGGAACCTGTACCGTATGCAACTGAAGTGATCATTGTTCGAAAAATGCACAGATTGCTCAACAAAGTTTATGCTAAATGTGTTTCATCAGTTTCAACGAACGAAATATGATTTGTACGTCTAAGAAATCATAATTTTTGGCATGGAACTATTCAGATAATCAGAAGGAACATGTACCATATGCAACTGATTCGTTTTAAGCGATCATTGTCTGAAAAACCCACCGATTGCTCACTTATGGTAAATATGTATGTTTTTACGAGCGAGAGGTTTTTACGGTTTTTACGGCTCAGAAGTGGTGATTTTGATACGGATCTGTTCAGATCATTGCAGGGAACCTATACCGTATGCAACTGATTCGTTTGAAGTGATCATTGTCCGAAAAATGCACAGATTGTTCAACAAAGCTTATGCTAAATGTGTTTCATCAGTTTCAACTAACGAAATATGATTTGTACGTCTAAGAAATCATAATTTTGGCAGGGAACTGTTCAGATCATCACAGGGAACATGTACCATATGCAACTGATTCGTTTTAAGCGATCATTGTCTGAAAAACGCACCCATTGCTTACTAAGGCTTATGGTAAATGTGTTTTAACGAGCGAGAGATGGTTTTTGCTGCCCAGAAGTGGTGATTTTGACACGGATCTGTTCAGATCATCACCGTATGCAACTGATTCGTTTTAAGCGATCATTGTCTGAAAAACGCACCGATTGCTCACTAAAGCTTATGGTAAATGTGTTTCATCAGTTTCAACGAACGGAAGATGGTTTGTACGTCTAAGAAGTCATAATTTTTGGCAGGGAACTGTTCAGATCATCACAGGAAACATGTACTATATGCAACTGATTCGTTTTAAGCGATCATTGCCCGAAAAACGCACCGATTGCTCACTAAAGCTTATGGTAAATGTGTTTTAACGAGCGAGAGATGGTTTTTGCGGCCCAGAAGAGGTGATTTTGACACGGATCTATACGGATCATCATAGGGAATATGTACCGAATGTAACTGATTTGTTTTAAGCGATCATTGTCTGAAAAACGCACCGATTGCTCAACAAAGCTTATGCTAAATGTGTTTCATCAGTTTCAACTAACGAAATATGATTTGTACGTCTAAGAAATCATAATTTTGGAACGGAACTGTTCAGATTATCACAGGAAACATGTACCATATGCAACTGATTCGTTTTAAGCGATCATTGTCTGAAAAACGCACCAATTGCTCACTAAAGCTTATGGTAAATGTGTTTTAACGAGCGAGAGATGGCTTTTGCGGCTCAGAAGTGGTGATTTTGATACGGATCTGTTCAGATCATCACTGGGAACCTGTACCGTATGTAACTGATTCGTTTGAAGTTATCATTGTCTGAAAAATGCACAGATTGCTCAACAAAGTTTATGCTAAATGTGTTTCATCAGTTTCAACGAACGAAAGATGATTTGTACATCTAAGAAATCATAATTTTTGGCAGGGAACTGTTCAGATCATCACAGGAATCATGTACCATATTCAACTGATTCGTTTTAATCGATCATCGTCCGAAAAATGCACCGATTGCTCACTAAAGCTTATGGTAAATGAGTTTTAACGAGCGAAAGATGGTTTTTGCGGCTCAGAAGTGGTGATTTTGATACGGATCTGTTCAGATCATCACAAGGAAGCTGTATCGTATGCAACTGATTCGTTTGAAGTGATCATCGACCGAAAAATGCACCGATTGCTCAACAAAGCTTATGCTAAATGTGTTTCATCAGTTTCAACGAACGAAAGATGATTTGTACGTCTAAGAAATCATAATTTTGGCAGTGAACTGTTCAGATAATCACAGGAAACATGTACTATATTCAACTGATTCGTTTTAAGCGATCATTGTCTGAAAAACGCACCGATTGCTCACTAAAGCTTATGGTAAATGTGTTTTAACGAGCGAGAGATGGTTTTTGCGGCTCAGAAGTGGTGATTTTGATACGGATCTGTTCAGATCATCACTGGGAACCTGTACCGTATGCAACTGATTCGAGAGGCTTGAGATTAAGTTCGTAGACAATCGTATCCAACCCCAACCGGAATTTCGTCTGAATTCAAAAGTATTTTCATAATGTGAAACGAAATGTTCGAAGTAACAGAAGATTGGTAGTGAAAAGGATAGTTGGATCATCTGAAAAACTGATGGTATTTCCAAGAAATAGCAGCAATTATTGTGGAATTGAGACCCGACAAACCATAAGCATACAGCTACTTCGGGATATCTGCAATTAGAACAAACAATGAAGAAAAAGAGAGTGCCATCTCTTTCCATCCAGACAATCGTATACAACCTCAAGCGGGATTTAGCCTAAGTTCAGAAGGGTTTTCACTGGGCAGCCTTTCAGAGGTAATGTGGAACGAAATGCTGCATAAATGGTTCACATGTTAGAGGTTGGTAGATAAGTCTGAAGATCTGCAGCTCGATTTCAATGCTTTCGAACTTGGAAGTATTAACATCCGAAGCATCAGTTGGTTGGTAAATATTGATGCTTGGATCATCCAAATATCTGGTCGAATTTCTGAGAAAAAGCAGCGAGTATTGTAGATGATCGAGGTGAGATCTGAAATATCAACCTCGACGAACAATAACCAATCAACTAAATGGGAACAAACTATAAACGATAAGGTCAGTTCTGTGTCTTTACAATCATACGCAGAAGGATGAAAGAGTCGTGATTAAGTTTGCAGTTTGAAGAGCGTGTTTTCCTGCGTTTTCAATTGAACATCCGTAGAGAGGTAACGTAAAATGAAAATAATGGTTCAAGAGTTCACTAGTTATGGTCCACGGTTTGATCTCTTTAACCAAACTAATAATGATGACAGGGATGCAATTAAGTCTGTAGGTCACATTATTGCCTGCATTCACAAAGGTTTTCATTGTATTATTCAATTCTTTCCAATCAGACGAATAATAATATGACATCTCGATCAAGACCACCATATTTGAATAGACATCTTCGTGAGCATCCTAATAATACAAAGAGCCTAGTAATTTAACCAGTTAAGAACGCGAGAGATAAACAATGATACAAGCCAATATTCCTCCTGACTGTCAACTATCACTAAGACTCTTGAGATTCTGATTCCTGCCCCCATATCCCGCTATTTAACAGCAATCTATCGTAAGATAAACAATCATATAGGGCGATATTTCTCGTGTCATCTATCTCAATGACTCTTAAGACTCTGTTACTTCTCCAAATGTTCCGCTACCTAATAGAAGCCGGTCACTGGTATGGATTAAGCATAAAAACATTCAGATCTCAAAAGACTTGCGAAATAATGGCCCTTTTGTTGCTTAACCTTAAGATCCTCATTACCAAAGTTATCATCCATCTCTATTGTAAATATTCCAACTCCTCTGAAGACCACAACTATAAAAGCCAATCTTGAAATTGAAGTCTTTGAAATCGTAGAAAAAGTTGTACTTTAGGACCTTTAGTTCCCATTCCAGCACGTACAAATGAAAACCTAAATAAATCTCTTCAATATGAATCGTCCATTAGGAGGATGAAAATAGTTGAGTGGTTGGAATAAAAAAGCTTCCAAACCACAGCAGCTATAACATTTGTGCTCAGTGGTGCTCCAGAGAGAGATTTCGGGTCCTTCTAAAACTCATTATAAATAAAGTGTTAAATATATGGAATTCGAATGGATTTCTTGGAAATGTGTAATTGAAGACAATTTCCTGTTAAAGAAAGTGTTTTTATTTGAAACACTAAAGTTAGAAGGGAGGGATCATGTTATGATTTTTAGACCAATAAATTCCCACTTTAAATTTTCTAATTTTTTTTGAATTTTCTTTTCATCTCCACAGTTTCCTCCACAAGTTGGCGAACTGAATATACCCCTGAAATCAGTCAAAAAGAAGAATTACCACCACGTTTGGCAGGAGGATCACGATCACCACCGCCACCCTTACCACCACGCAATAGTGGTGGTAATAGCAATGGAGCTAGCACTTCATCGTTTAATACATTTGCCAGGGATTATGAGCAATATGCACCAGTATTGAATACTAGCCATGTATTGGATCGACGAAAAACATCTTCACGTCTTTATGAAATTGTCACAGATCAACGTACTGTGGATTTGGAATTACTCGATTTCTTTTATATGGTTAAAGAACTGAGACAACGTTATCCTTACGATGATGAAGTAAACAATGTGGGTCATATTATAGCATCGGAATTTAATTATCATTATCCTTTGGAGACAAGTATTAAAATTTTAGTACATCCAGCATTGAATGCATTGTTTCCGGATGGTGAATCGGCGGCGCCCAATAAGGGTCAGTTTAAGGGCTATGGAGCACCCATACAATTTACATGTGACAGTAAGTTTTTTAGCTAAAATTTTGGCAAAAAAGTTTTTAAACTGTCCTTTTTTGTTCTAGTTAATACTCCCGTTGAAATGGTTATTAGCCAAGCCTTCTATTCTTTAGAGGGTCAAATCAGAGGTCATGTTAATGATTATGCCGTTAGACCCATAGGTGTGGCGGAATGGCTTTCAAATTCTTCGAAACTAAGTCAATTGGAATGTGTACATAATAGTTTGAAACTGGAAAAAGATGTACAATTGGGTTTGTGTTTGAAAACCGAGGAAAATATGAAAGTTATAGCACGCACCCAGAGAGATGATAAAAATGAATGTGACATGCGCCCCGAGGAAGTGTTGCCCAATGAAACGGCCACCACCATAACCTATGATAGTATGATGATTTTATTAGGTGAGTAAGAATAGCTTTCCTCATTTTTAATCTCAAAAATTAATAAAATCAATTTCAATTTCAGAAACTCTGGAAACTGAAATAGATAAACTAGAATCTGCGGCTAATGACAGCAACTCGCGTACTGTTATATCCTGCTCCGGTGTGGTGCAGGGTGTTAAAGCCATTTGTGCCTTATTGGGTTCCATTGATACATTGGAACTAGCCGACTGTGTAGCCAAGCTAAAACAAGTTTGTGAAGATAATCAACCTAAATATGGAAGTTCCTCTACAAATCCCGAAATTATCACCGATTGCGGCGACTATGCCGAAGTGTGTTTGCGACCGCGTTCGATTGTGGAACAAATAAAAGTGAAATGCAATAATTTAAGAGATGCCGTACAGGAATTGATCGAATTGTATTCGAATGTCTTTAGAGTAGGATTTTCGGTTAAAACTTTGGATTATTCAATAAGTAAGTATAGGCCGATAACTCGAGAACTATTCGAAATATTATAGCCAAATTGTACTCGAATCAGAGCTATGGTTGACCTAAGCTAGAACTGTACCAGAACTGAATTAGAACTGAACTAGAACTGAACAAGAACTGAACAAGAACTGAACTAGAACTGAACTAGAACTGAACTAGAACTGAACTAGAACTGAACTAGAACTGAACTAGAACTGAACTAGAACTGAACTAGAACTGAACTAGAACTGAACTAGAACAGAACTAGAACTGAACTAGAACAGAACTGGAACTGAACTAGAACTGAACTAAAACTGAACTAGAACTGAACTAGAACTGAACTAGAACTGAACTAGAACTGAACTAGAACTGAACTAGAACTGAACTAGAACTGAACTAGAACTGAACTAGAACTGAACTAGAACTGAACTAGAACTGAACTAGAACTGAACTAGAACTGAACTAGAACTGAACTAGAACTGAACTAGAACTGAACTAGAACTGAACTAGAACTGAACTAGAACTGAACTAGAACTGAACTAGAACTGAACTAGAACTGAACTAGAACTGAACTAGAACTGAACTAGAACTGAACTAGAACTGAACTAGAACTGAACTAGAACTGAACTAGAACTGAACTAGAACTGAACTAGAACTGAACTAGAACTGAACTAGAACTGAACTAGAACTGAACTAGAACTGAACTAGAACTGAACTAGAACTGAACTAGAACTGAACTAGAACTGAACTAGAACTGAACTAGAACTGAACTAGAACTGAACTAGAACTGAACTAGAACTGAACTAGAACTGAACTAGAACTGAACTAGAACTGAACTAGAACTGAACTAAAACTGAACTAGAACTGAACTAGAACTGAACTAGAACTGAACTAGAACTGAACTAGAACTGAACTAGAACTGAACTAGAACTGAACTAGAACTGAACTAGAACTGAACTAGAACTGAACTAGAACTGAACTAGAACTGAACTAGAACTGAACTAGAACTGAACTAGAACTGAACTAGAACTGAACTAGAACTAGAACTGAACTAGAACTGAACTAGAACTGAACTAGAACTGAACTAGAACTGAACTAGAACTGAACTAGAACTGAACTAGAACTGAACTAGAACTGAACTAGAACTGAACTAGAACTGAACTAGAACTGAACTAGAACTGAACTAAAACTGCACTAGAACTGAACTAGAACTGAACTAGAACTGAACTAGAACTAAAGAATTCGAAAAATTAAAAAAATTAAATCTTTATTAAAATTCTTTATTTTTAGCACCCATACATGTTTCTTTCGTCTCTAAACCGATTGTGGTGAGCGTCAATTGTTTACATCGCCCTCCTCCATTATGGCGTTATGATAATTACTCTTTGGGTGTACAAATCAACTATGGTTCCCGTTTTATCTCCGATCCCGTGGTAACAAAATGTTCAAATGATACTACAGGAGGTTTATTTCCACGTCTGAAATTTTCTTCTTGGATTACGTTTGAGAAAAATCCAATTTGTACTTTGCCGCGTGAAGCTCGTTTGATATTTGTCTTGTACGGCACTCAGACAGCGGAAAATGATCAAAATAATGTGGATAATGGTGAAAAGAAACAAATTACCACCGAGTTGGGTTGGTGTGCTATACAATTGTTTGACTATAAACGTGAAATGATTTGTGGTTCATATCTACTCTCCATGTGGCCGGCTACGGCGGATAAGTTTTTGGGCCCAGCTCCTGCTAGAGGTTGTCATCCTCAGCCGGACTTTTGTCCGGTTTTGAGTATAGAAGTGCCACCCTACGGTGGTAAAATACAATTTCCAGAACCTTTAGAAAATCCACCACCAGCACCAAGGTACGACATTTGTATATTGCCAAGTAAAACCAGGAAGTTATTAAAATTTTTCTTTTTTAACAGATACGACTTCAACTCCCTTGACACTAATCTGCAGCAAGAATTATTGGACACTGCCGAACAGGGCTATCCTGGTGCCATCGATAAACGTGAAGTTTTCTGGGAGAAACGTTTGTATTTGCAAAATATTCCTCATGCCTTACCCAAAGTATTACACGCAGCCCATAGTTGGGATTATGCTAGTCTCATGGATTTACACTCTTTGCTGTATTCCTGGTCAGCCTTATCTCCGCTACAGGCTTTAGAGCTGCTACTGCCACGTTATCCTGATGCCAAAGTAAGAGAAAAGGCAGTAGAATGGATATCCCAACTACCAAATGATCAATTGGTTGACTATTTGCCACAATTGATCCAGGCCTTGAAGCATGATACCTATGAAGCTTCCTCAATGGCTAGATTTTTATTAAGTAAATCCTTGGAATCTCCACGTATAGCTCATCATATGTATTGGCTTTTAGTACATAGTTTACCTGGTGATGGGCCACAGAATTCGATAGATGCTTCATCGAGTAATACCGATGAAATGGATGATACATTAATAACTCAAGCACGTTATTATCGCAGGAATAAGATGATGTTGAGGGCTTTGCTAGCCATATGTGGTGAGAAACTATCCAAGAGATTCTTGCTGCAAAATCTTATGTGTAGGGTAAGATTTCCGCTCCTAGATTAATATTTCAATTAATTTTTATTGTAATTTTCTAAATAACAGAATCTGGCTAACATTGCTGAAAACGTTAAAGTGGCCAAGGAGTCCTTGCGTCAAAAGTCTTTGTGTGCCGGCATGGATAGTGTCAATCAAGAGCTTTTAGACAAACCCACCTCTTTGCCTTTGGGTCCAGAACTGGAGGTCACTGGTGTTAATGTACGCAGTTGCAGCTATTTCAATTCCAATACTTTGCCCTTGAAAATTTCCTTTATTGGTCCTGATGCAGAAATACTGCCTGCCATATTTAAGGTATAAATAATAGTTTATCTAAATATTAAATTTATTTAGTTTTTTATTTCTATTCTCCCTTTAGTCTGGCGATGATTTACAACAAGACATGTTGACCATACAACTTATTCGTGTTATGAATAAAATGTGGCTGGCCGAGGGTTTGGACTTGAAAATGGTCACTTTTAATTGTGTTCCCACCGGTTTTAAGAAGGGCATGATTGAATTGGTTTCGGATGCTGAAACTTTAAGAAAAATCCAGGTAGAATATGGTTTGACGGGTTCGTTTAAGGATCGTCCCATTGCTGAGTGGTTGGCTAAACAAAATCCCAGTCAATTGGAGTATCAAAGGGCGGTAAAGAATTTTACGGGTAAGTTTTAGTACCAGAAAGAACATTAGTTCAGATATAGTTCAGTTTTAGTTCATTTCTAGTTCATTTCTAGTTCAGTTCTAGTTCAGTTCTAGTTCAGTTCTAGTTCAGTTCTAGTTCAGTTCTAGTTCAGTTCTAGTTCAGTTCTAGTTCAGTTCTAGTTCAGTTCTAGTTCAGTTCTAGTTCAGTTCTAGTTCAGTTCTAGTTCAGTTCTAGTTCAGTTCTAGTTCAGTTCTAGTTCAGTTCTAGTTCAGTTCTAGTTCAGTTCTAGTTCAGTTCTAGTTCAGTTCTAGTTCAGTTCTACTTCAGTTCTAGTTCAGTTCTACTTCAGTTCTAGTTCAGTTCTACTTCAGTTCTAGTTCAGTTCTAGTTCAGTTCTAGTTCAGTTCTAGTTCAGTTCTAGTTCAGTTCTAGTTCAGTTCTAGTTCAGTTCTAGTTCAGTTCTAGTTCAGTTCTAGTTCAGTTCTAGTTCAGTTCTAGTTCAGTTCTAGTTCAGTTCTAGTTCAGTTCTAGTTCAGTTCTAGTTCAGTTCTAGTTCAGTTCTAGTTCAGTTCTAGTTCAGTTCTAGTTCAGTTCTAGTTCAGATTATAGTTCAGTTCTAGTTCAGTTCTAGTTCAGTTCTAGTTTCAGTTCTAGGTTCTATTCAGTTCTAGTTCAGTTCTAGTTCATTCCTAGTTCAGTTCTAGTTCAGTTCTAGTTCAGTTCTAGTTCAGTTCTGTTCAGTTCTAGTTCAGTTCTAGTTCAGTTCTAGTTCAGTTCTTCCAGTTCTAGTTCAGTTAGTTCAGTTTCTAGTTCAGTTCAGTTCAGTTCTAGTTCAGTTCTAGTTCAGTTCTAGTTCAGTTCTAGTTCAGTTCTAGTTTCAGTCTAGTTCAGTTCTAGTTCAGTTCTAGTTCAGTTCTAGTTCAGTTCTAGTTCAGTTCTAGTTCAGTTCTAGTTCAGTTCTAGTCAGTTCTAGTTCAGTTCTAGTTCAGTTCTAGTTTCAGTTCCGTTTTCAGTTCTAGTTTCAGTTCTAGTTCAGTTCTAGTTCAGTTCTAGTTCAGTTCTAGTTCAGTTCTAGTTCAGTTCTAGTTCAGTTCTAGTTCAGTTCTAGTTCAGTTCTAGTTCAGTTCTAGTTCAGTTCTAGTTCAGTTCTAGTTCAGTTCTAGTTCAGTTCTAGTTCAGTTCTAGTTCAGTTCTAGTTCAGTTCTAGTTCAGTTCTAGTTCAGTTCTAGTTCAGTTCTAGTTCAGTTCTAGTTCAGTTCTAGTTCAGTTCTAGTTCAGTTCTAGTTCAGTTCTAGTTCAGTTCTAGTTCAGTTCTAGTTCTAGTTCTAGTTCAGATCTAGTTCAGTTCTAGTTCAGTTCTAGTTCAGTTCTAGTTCAGTTCTAGTTCAGTTCTAGTTCAGTTCTAGTTCAGTTCTAGTTCAGTTCTAGTTCAGTTCTAGTTCAGTTCTAGTTCTAGTCAGTTCTAGTTCAGTTCTAGTTCAGTTCTAGTTCAGTTCTAGTTCAGTTCTAGTTCAGTTCTAGTTCAGTTCTAGTTCAGTTCTAGTTCAGTTCTAGTTCAGTTCTAGTTCAGTTCTAGTTCAGTTCTAGTTCAGTTCTAGTTCAGTTCTAGTTCAGTTCTAGTTCAGTTCTAGTTCAGTTCTAGTTCAGTTCTAGTTCAGTTCTAGTTCAGTTCTAGTTCAGTTCTAGTTCAGTTCTAGTTCAGTTCTAGTTCAGTTCTAGTTCAGTTCTAGTTCAGTTCTAGTTCAGTTCTGATTCAGTTCTAGTTCTGTTTTGGTTAAGTTCTAGTTCTAGTTCAGTTCTAGTTATTTTCTAGTAAATCTGCCAAAAATTTTCACTAACTTCACTTTTTTATTGTTTTTAGTCTCCTGCGCTGGCTATAGTGTGGCAACTTATATTTTGGGCATTTGTGATAGACATAATGACAATATTATGTTAAAAACCTCAGGACATTTATTCCACATAGATTTTGGTAAATTTTTAGGTGATGCTCAAATGTTTGGTAACTTTAAAAGGTAAAAGAAGCAAACTACAAATTTTTGAAAACAAAAAAATCTAAAAAGAATCCTTTCTTTTACAGAGATCGCACTCCTTTCGTACTAACCTCTGATATGGCGTACGTTATTAATGGTGGCGATAAACCATCTACTGATTTTCATTATTTTGTTGACTTATGCTGTCGTGCCTTTAATATTATACGCAAACATGGTGATCTTTTGTTACACATGTTAGCTCTTATGGCAACGGCTGGTATACCCGGTGTTACAGCCGATGCTGTTACCTATGTACGCAAAGCTTTATTACCATCACAATCGAATCCGGAAGCAGCTGCCTCATTTGCTAAAATGATACAATTCTCATTGAAGAGTTGGTTTACACAATTCAATTTCTTTTTGCACAATTTAGCACAAATGCGTTTTAGCAATGATGAGGGCAGCGGTGAACTGTTGTCGTTTGTTCCTAGAAAATATACGTAAGTTTGATGTTGTTGCTTTAGTTTGGGAGTGATTTTATATTTGTTTCTGTTCTATTTTTTTTTGCAGAATGCATCAAGATGGCCGCTTAAGAAGTGTTACTGTGGTGCGCTGTCAAAAACACTATGAAATGGAGAAATTTTATACATATATTTTACTTGTCACCCGCCATGGTCAAAAAGATCCCACACATTTATTCCGTTCCTATAAAGAATTCACCGAATTTCATCAGAAGTTATGTTTACATTTTCCATTAGCCAAATTACACAGGTAAGATAATTCAATGTATAACTTTCAATGTAGTTGTAAACCTTAAGACCAACTCAAAACCTGGTTCAACTGATCTTAATATTATTGTCTTATATCTTACCTTCTTCTATATTAATATTCCAAATGCAAAATCAAAATATTTTCATGGTTTTAACATACAAATTTGATTATTAAGTGAAGTAGTATATTTAAGCCCAAATACTCCTACTAGCTAAACAAATAATTTAACAACAAACTAAGCTTCAGTACCTTCATAGTCATCATTATTTAAATCTAAAAATTTCTGCTTATTTCTCTTGGAAGCCTCAGGTTTTTTATCATTTATAGAACGTGCCTTAAAACCATCCATATCGGCACGTACTTCCTTGGCCCGTTGTATAGCCAGTTGAGCCATAGGATTGCGATAGGCAGGTTTAGGTGGTGGTGTATTAAAATCAGGTGGTGGTGAGGATAATTTGGAGTCTGCGGTTGTTGTTATATTTTGCAATTCCACTGTCAAGTTGCGATGTTTTCGTATGGCAGACCAACTATCTTCATTATCATTATCTTCATGGGATATTTGAGAACCAAATAATGATATAGTTTTGGGTATGGTAACAATAGGTGTCAGGGTTGATTCAGTGTTATAATTTATATTTGACAAACGTTGCATGGGTTGTGGTGGTATGGGGGGAGGAGGTTTGTTATATACATCGTCATCATCATCATAATCCGACTCAAATTCTAAATCCCTTTGGGCATTTCTGCCTGGTATAACATGTTCCTCGGTTTTAAAATCAAATGTTACTTTACTTTTACGCGGTTTAGCTTGTATATCTTCATCTATTTTGGGTTCTTTGAGTATTGAGGTAGTAGCAGCTGTTAATTCTGCATCACTAAAGGTTATTTTAATTTCTTGTGGTGATTGTAAGTTTGCCTTGGCAATTTGTTGTGTCTTTAACTGTTCGAAATTAATCCAATCATCTTCAATACTTTTGCCAAAGCCTAAAGGTTGTTGGGGACTATTTAAAGGAGATTTTTCTAGAAAATCTGCTTCATGTACTTCATAGGAATGACGTATTTTAGTGAATTCTTCTTCAATGTTGTGGGAAAAGTCATTTTCTATATCTTTTTCCATTTCTTGCCATAATTGATCATCGAACTCGTGTCGGCTGTCGTTAGTTTGTGCTTGATATAAGGGAGGAGGATTTTCCAAAAAGCTTAAGTCCTTTTTTCTGGCAAAACCAGTAGGTCTTCGTTGTCTTAATTCTTCATTTCCAAATTTAGTTGTGCCTTCTTCATCTGAGTTTTGTTGTAATTGGAAATTTACTTGTTTATTAACTTCTTCTTTTCTTACAAATCCTGTAGGTCTTCTTTGCTTTAAGGCTTCATTTTCTTGAGAAAAATTTTCGCTGTCTTCCTCGTTTATTTGGAAATTAACTTGCTTTTCCATTTTATCTAACTCTTCTTTTCTCACAAAACCGGTGGGTCTGCGCTGCTTTATCAAAGACTCACTATTATTTTCAGAATCACTAAAACTATGCTCCATTTCTTTAAATCTAACGTTAGGACTAAGGGGAATGTCTTTATATTCCCAATCATGTTTGCTATATTCCTCATCTTCTAAAGTTGGTCTTCGTTCTTTAGTTGTGAAATTTTCATCATCCGACAACTCCAACATTTCCATTTTCCTTATAAAACCTGTGGGTCTTCTCTGTTTGATATCGGAATTCCAAATTTCTTGTTCATCTTTAAAATCAGTAGATTTATCAAATTTCACTTGGCCCTTAGGAAAATCTTCAGGATCCTGTTGTAAGTTAATCTCATTCCACAAATCTTCAGTATTTGTTGTTCTTATAAAACCTGTAGGTCTTCTTTGATTAAGTGTGAACTTTTCTGTTTCACTCTCTGCCCATGTCTGAAATTCTTCATCATTAAATTTGACTTTTGGTGGTTGAAAGTTCTCCATTTCCTCATTAGTATGTCTTGGGCTTTCATTTTGATCCTCATCAGATTCATCATTAAATGTCACATAGTAATCATTATTTCTGACAAATCCCGTGGGACGTCTTTGTTTTATTGCGGAATTATCATCAAACTCTTGATTAGAACTTTGAACTGTTGAGGATTCAAACGTTACCTCACGTTGTTGTAAATATGTAGTGGATTCTGTGGTCATTAACGAACGTACTTGACTATATACTTTCTTTTGACTATGAGAAGTTTCTTGCCATTCTTCGGTTTCACTTAAGTCAGGTGATTCTGGCCAATTTCTTACGTAACCTGTAGGTCTTCTTTGATTGAGAGTAAATTTGTCATTAGTTTCGCTGACATTAAAGGAAATCGACGATTGTTCCTTGTGTTTTTCGTCAAGAAAATCTTGTTCCTCCTCGAAACTGTTCTGTGATTCCAAATGATGATTATTAAATCTTCTAACATTAACTTTTGGAGTTTCAATTTTCTCTTCAAACTGAGGCCAGCTAGTGAATTGACTATCGAAATCTTCTTGCAAACTAGAAGATTCGAAAAATTCTGAATTTCCATTGGCAAATTCGTCTTTAATGTATTCAGTTGATCTACATTCCTTGACTGAACGGAACTCCGTAACAAATTCTTCTTCGAAGTCTTGTTGATAGTCTTTAGCAAAATCTGTAGGTCTGTGTTCCTTAACTGAACGATACTCAGTTATGAGTTGTTTTTGAGTCGCTTTAGGATGATTAACCATTGATTTTTGTTCTTGAACTGAAAGGAATTCTTCCTCTTCATCACTTTGAGTGTCTTTAACGAACTCTGTAGGTCTTCGTTCTTTAACTGAACGTAACTCAGTAACACATTCTTCTTCATTAGATTGTGGTTCGTTAACATACTCAGTTGATCTTTGTTTACCCACTAAATGGAATTCCGTAACAAATTCTTCACTTTGTGTGCCTTTATTAAACTCAGTGGGTCTTCGTTCCTTAACTGAACGGAATTCAGTTACAAATTCCTCTCCAGCATTCGGAGATTCTTTGGCAAACTCAGTGGCATTGCGATCTTTAACTGAAACGAAATCAGTTTTGTACACATCTCCATCATTGGGAGGTCCATTATCAAACTCTCTGGATCTGCTTTCCTTAACTGTTTTAAATTCAGTAACTGATTCTACTTCATCTCTTTGAGGTTGTTTCACAAACTCTGTGGGTCTTCTATCATTAACAGATCTATAATCTGCAGCAAATACTGCTTCATTATTTGGATAACTTTCGGTATCCAATTCCTCAAATGTTACAGAGGAAATTTCTTTAATTTCCGCCATTTTATTCTTTCTCTGATCCATGAAATCCTCTTCTTTATATTCTACATCTTCTAGTTCACTAAATTTGTAGGATTTAACATCGAAATTATACTTTTCAGTATATTGTACATCGGGACTTTCGTTTAAATTATTATTATAAATAATACGTTCATTTCTTAAAGCATCTAGTGCTGGTAGTTCCTGAGGATTTCCCCAATTTCGATCATCTTTAGCTAACTCAGCATTAAGTTCCTTTTCATATTGTTCCTGTAGATCAACATCAACCTCTTCATACTTAATGTAACCCGTAGGTCTTCGCTCTCCAAAGGTTTCAAAGAGTTTGGGTTCATCGTAATCATCGATTTTGGTTAAATCTTCGGTAGGCCTTGAGAAACCAGTCGGTCTACGTTCTATAACTTTATGAAATTCTGGTATAGTTATAGATTGTGATGATTTCAAATAGCGCGGTGTCTTCTCCGGCTTTACCATGGCCGAACTGCTGCGATTTAAACGTAACGGTGGTACGGGTATTTCTAGAACTTCATGTGTGGTGGATGGTTCAGGAACTTCGGGTTTTATTTCTTTTAATTTGAATTGTTTTTCAAATTCTTCAAATGTCAATGATATTTTTGTATTACTCTCTCGTATGGCGGTTAGATCTGAAGAAGAGGCTGTTGTTAGGGGAGGTGTGGCAATTTCCAAGTCTTCAAATGCTGTGGAATGTACTTGATCTCTTCTCTTATTGCGAGGTGGCGGTAATATAAGTGAGGAAGTACTATCGGATAGTTGGCGTATACGAACCGCTGCAAAAAGTTTAGATAGAACAATTTAATAAGATTTCGAGAAGTTTTACTTTTAAGACACTTACGTGGCAGTTGTTGGGGTCTCTGGATTTCCAATTCATCTTCACGTTTTTGCCTAAAAACTCCATGAACTTCAACACTGTCATAGATCTATGGGGGGGGGGGGGTTAAAATTGGCAAAGTATTAGTATACATTTCAAGAACGAGATGAAATAATTAGGCAGGAGTTGATCTAAGGAATATATTTCGAGTTTAAATAAATAACATCAGAATTAGTGTTTAAATTGTAGATATCACTACAGTTTAGAGGTCTGGGATCTATGCTCTAAACATAGTGGCTCTAACACTATCGCTTTATATATTTCCCCCCATTTTCTCTTACAATTTAGATTCGAAATAACTTTTCTATATTTTCTCACTTGTTATCAAACAAATAGAGCAATTATTTTTTAATTTCAAATATTTTAAGAGAATACAAACATAGCGATTGACTAAGTATGTTTTGAATGTGTCATCCACGTAACCAGAAAATCTTATCTAGAAAATAAATGTTACTCTTTCTGTTTTTACTAGCCATATTTTATTTTTATGATTGTTCTAAATATTTTATTCTATCAACAACAATTTGATTTCTTTAATTAATGTTTATAATCTACATACATACGTTTTTTATTTAAAAGAAACAAGGGAAGCACCTGATGGAAGAATATATTTATTTATATTTTTTAATGCATTCATTGAAAAAATATGTTCTTTTCGAAAATGAAATACAATATTTTTAATAGAACTCAATTAATGTAGATGACTAGACTTTATAAAACATAAAGACTGACAAATAAAACTCGACTATATACCGGGCTGAAGTGGATTGGATGAAAGTTTTTACGTCAAAAAACAAAATAACTAGTGAAAACTCACCGATATGAATAGTTAAATTTGAAAGTATGTATGTATGAGAAAATGATAGAACTGAACTAGAACTAAACTAGAACTGAACTAGAACTGAACTAGAACTGAACTAGAACTGAACTAGAACTGAACTAGAACTGAACTAGAACTGAACTAGAACTGAACTAGAACTGAACTAGAACTGAACTAGAACTGAACTAGAACTGAACTAGAACTGAACTAGAACTGAACTAGAACTGAACTAGAACTGAACTAGAACTGAACTAGAACTGAACTAGAACTGAACTAGAACTGAACTAGAACTGAACTAGAACTGAACTAGAACTGAACTAGAACTGAACTAGAACTGAACTAGAACTGAACTAGAACTGAACTAGAACTGAACTAGAACTGAACTAGAACTGAACTAGAACTGAACTAGAACTGAACTAGAACTGAACTAGAACTGAACTAGAACTGAACTAGAACTGAACTAGAACTGAACTAGAACTGAACTAGAACTGAACTAGAACTGAACTAGAACTGAACAGAACTGAACTGAACTAGAACTGAACTAGAACTGAACTAGAACTGAACTAGAACTGAACTAGAACTGAACTAGAACTGAACTAGAACTGAACTAAAACTGAACTAGAACTGAACTAGAACTGAACTAGAACTGAACTAGAACTGAACTAGAACTGAACTAGAACTGAACTAGAACTGAACTAGAACTGAACTAGAACTGAACTAGAACTGAACTAGAACTGAACTAGAACTGAACTAGAACTGAACTAGAACTGAACTAGAACTGAACTAGAACTGAACTAGAACTGAACTAGAACTGAACTAGAACTGAACTAGAACTGAACTAGAACTGAACTAGAACTAGAACTGAACTAGAACTGAACTAGAACTGAACTAGAACTGAACTAGAACTGAACTAGAACTGAACTAGAACTGAACTAGAACTGAACTAGAACTGAACTAGAACTGAACTAGAACTGAACTAGAACTGAACTAGAACTGAACTAGAACTGAACTAGAACTGAACTAGAACTGAACTAGAACTGAACTAGAACTGAACTAGAACTGAACTAGAACTGAATTAGAACTGAACTAGAACTAAACAAGAACTGAAGTGAACTGAACTAGAACTGAACTAGAACTGAACTAGAACTGAACTAGAACTGAACTAGAACTGAACTAGAACTGAACTAGAACTGAACTAGAACTGAACTAGAACTGAACTAGAACTGAACTAGAACTGAACTAGAACTGAACTAGAACTGAACTAGAACTGAACTAGAACTGAACTAGAACTGAACTAGAACTGAACTAGAACTGAACTAGAACTGAACTAGAACTGAACTAGAACTGAACTAACTAGAACTGAACTAGAACTGAACTAGAACTGAACTAGAACTGAACTAGAACTGAACTAGAACTGAACTAGAACTGAACTAGAACTGAACGAACTGAACTAGAACTGAACTAGAACTGAACTAGAACTGAACTAGAACTGAACTAGAACTGAACTAGAACTGAACTAGAACTGAACTAGAACTGAACTAGAACTGAACTAGAACTGAACTAGAACTGAACTAGAACTGAACTAGAACTGAATTCAGAACTGAACTAGAACTAACTAGAACTGAACTAGAACTGAACTAGAACTGAACTAGAACTGAACTAGAACTGAACTAGAACTGAACTAGAACTGAACTAGAACTGAACTAGAACTGAACTAGAACTGAACTAGAACTGAACTAGAACTGACTAGAAACTGAACTAGAACTGAACTAGAACTGAACTAGAACTGAACTAGAACTGAACTAGAACTGAACTAGAACTGAACTAGAACGAACTAGAACTGAACTAGAACTGAACTAGAACTGAACTAGAACTGAACTAGAACTGAACTAGAACTGAACTGAACTAGAACTGAACTAGAACTGAACTAGAACTGAACTAGAACTGAACTAGAACTGAACTAGAACTGAACTAGAACTGAACTAGAACTGAACTAGAACTGAACTAGAACTGAACTAGAACTGAACTAGAACTGAACTAGAACTGAACTAGAACTGAACTAGAACTGAACTAGAACTGAACTAGAACTGAACTAGAACTGAACTAGAACTGAACTAGAACTGAACTAGAACTGAACTAGAACTGAACTAGAACTGAACTAGAACTGAACTAGAACTGAACTAGAACTGAACTAGAACTGAACTAGAACTGAACTAGAACTGAACTAGAACTGAACGAGAACTGAACTAGAACTGAACTAGAACTGAACTAGAACTGAACTAGAACTAGAACTAGAACTGAACTAGAACTGAACTAGAACTGAACTAGAACTGAACGAGAACTGAACTAGAACTGAACTAGAACTGAACTAGAACTAGAACTGAACTAGAACTGAACTAGAACTGAACTAGAACTGAACTAGAACTGAACTAGAACTGAACGAGAACTGAACTAGAACTGAACTAGAACTGAACTAGAACTGAACTAGAACTGAACTAGAACTGAACTAGAACTGAACTAGAACTGAACTAGAACTGAACTAGAACTGAACTAGAACTGAACTAGAACTGAACTAGAACTGAACTAGAACTGAACTAGAACTGAACTAGAACTGAACTAGAACTGAACTAGAACTGAACTAGAACTGAACTAGAACTGAACTAGAACTGAACTAGAACTGAACTAGAACTGAACTAGAACTGAACTAGAACTGAACTAGAACTGAACTAGAACTGAACTAGAACTAGAACTGAACTAGAACTGAACTAGAACTGAACTAGAACTGAACTAGAACTGAACTAGAACTGAACTAGAACTGAACTAAAACTGAACTAGAACTGAACTAGAACTGAACTAGAACTGAACTAGAACTGAACTAGAACTGAACTAGAACTGAACTAGAACTGAACTAGAACTGAACTAAAACTGAACTAGAGCTTAACTTGAACTCAACAAGAATTCCTTAGGATCTGTCCCCATAAACCCAATGGGAGTCACTTACTTGTTGTGAATATCTTTTATTCCTTTTTATATTTTTGTGTTTTACTCCGACGCGGCACTATAACCGGTGGCGTACCACCACCAGCAGCACCATTCTGGGTACTGGTCTGTTCAAATGATAAACGATGTTTAAACCACCATAATTTAATGCCCACTATGGTAACTACCATGCACATTAAAACACCCAAAGAGGCCACTGCACCCAGATTTTCTTTTAAGGGAAAAATTTAAAATAAAAAAAATTAAAAACTTTAAGAGCCAAAAGAAAAAAAAAAACAACAACAATTATCGTCATCATAAGTTTTCGTTATCATCATTATCTGACTCAAAGTACTATTATCATCATTCTGTTAACCAACCTTGATTATGTTGATTTGTTAAATTAATTTTGGCCATTTCTTAAGAATTTTATTTTTAATTTCTTTAACATTATTTAGTTTTGTTATAAAGTGATTTGTTTTTGTTTGTTTGTACTTTTTTGTTGTTGAACTTTTTGCAATAGTTTTAAATAAATTTATTATTCCGTTTGCAACGCTTGCACGTCAATTTATTTATATTTTTTTTTTGTCGATTTGTAAAACTTTTACTATAATTAATAATACAAAAACAAAAAATAACTTTTATTTAGTTGTTACCGCCACGGCGGGAGTATTGTTATGACTTCTCTATAAAATATTTAATATTTTGTTTGTTATCAATTATTGTAGTATTTTTTTTTTCTTTAACCATTTCAAATAAAAAGGTGTTTTTCTGTTTGTTATCAATCTTTTTTTTTTTTTTTTGTTTTTGTTTCGTATGTACTTTGATATATTTTTTATTTAAAATTTCTCTTTATTTAAGTTATGTGACTCTTAATATGGCCAAGTTAGTAAAAAAAAGCAAAAACAAATATATATTTTAAGGTTCATACATGTACGTATAGATATTTTTAACGTTTTTTATTTAACTTTTGATAAAGTACGACAACGAATATTTATGGGTTCTCTTATTTCACTCATTGTGTTTGTTTTTTTCAGTTCTTGTTTAAATTTGCAGTATTTCTTATTTGAACAACTACTTTACTGATTAATATTTATGGTTTATTAACTCAATGATGATGATGATAATAGTTATGATGTTGCTGTCTTTTAGGCCAAATGCAAAGTAATTTAATAAAACTCCAAACTAAATAAAATCTATAGACAATCTGTTGTGCAGACTGTAGACAAACTATAGACAATCTAAAGTCCAGACTATAGACAATCTGTAGTCCAGACTATAAATTATGAATATTCAAGACTATTGGCAATCTATACACAATTTATAGTCCAGACTATAGACAATCTGTAGTCCAGACTATAGACAATCTGTAGTCCAGTCTATAGACACTCTGTAGTCCAGCCTATAGACTATCTATAAAACTGAACTAGAACTGAACTAGAACTGAACTAGAACTGAACTAGAACTGAACTAGAACTGAACTAGAACTGAACTAGAACTGAACTAGAACTGAACTAGAACTGAACTAGAACTGAACTAGAACTGAACTAGAACTGAACTAGAACTTAACAAAAATTGAACTAGAACTGAACTAGAACAGAACTAGAACAGAACTAGAGTAGAACTAGAACAGAACTAGAACAGAACTAGACCATAACAAGAACAGAACTAAAACAGAACTAGAACAGAACTAGAACAGAACTAGAACAGAACTAGAACTGAACTAGAACAGAACTAGAACAGAACTAGAACAGAACTAGAACAGAACTAGAACAGAACTAGAACAGAACTAAAACTAGAACAGAACTAAAACTAGAACAGAACTAAAACTAGAATAGAACTAGAACAGAACTAGAACAGAACTAGAACAAAACTAGAACAGAACTAGAACAGAACTAGAATAGAACTAGAACTAGAACAGAACTAGAACAGAACAGAACTAGAACAGAACTAGAACAGAACTAGAACAGAACTAGAACAGAACTAGAACAGGAACTGGAAACCAGAACTAGAACAGGCAACTAGAACAGAACTACAAACAGAACTAGAACAGAACAGAACAGAACTAGAACAGAACTAGGAACAGAACTAGAACAGAACTAGAAACAGAACTAGAACAGAACTAGACCGAACTAGAACAGAACTAGAACAGAACTAGAACAGAACTAGAACAGACTAGAACAGAACTAGAACAGAACTAGAACAGAACTAGAACAGAACTAGAACAGAACTAGAACAGAACTAGAACAGAAACTAGAACAGAACTAGAACAGAACTAGAACAGAATCGAACAGAAAAACTAGAACCAGAACTAGAACAGAACTAGAACAGAACTAGAACAGAACTAGAACAGAACTAGAACAGAACTAGAACAGAACTAGAACAGAACTAGAACAGAGAACTAGAACAGAACTAGAACAGAACTAGAACAGAACTAGAACAGAACTAAAAACTAGAACAGAACTAAAACTAGAATAGAACTAAACAGAACTAGAACAGAACTAGAACAAAACTAGAAACAGAACTAGAACAGAACTAGAACAGAACTAGAATAGAACTAGAACAGAACTAAGAACAGAACAACTAGAACAGAACTAGAACAGAACTAGAACACTAGAACAGAACTAGAACAGAACTAGAACAGAACTAGAACAGAACTAGAACAGAACTGGAACAGAACTAGAACAGAACTAGACAGAACTAGAACAGAACTAGAAACAGAACTAGAAACAGAACTAGAACAGAACTAGAACAGAACTAGAACAGAACTAGACAGAACTAGAACAGAACTAGAACAGAACTACAACAGAACCAGAACAGAACTAGAAAGAACCGAACAGAACTAGAACAGAACTAGAACAGAACTAGAACAGAACTAGAACAGAACTAGAACAGAACTAGAACAGAACTAGAACAGAACTAGAACAGAACTAGAACAGAACTAGAACAGAACTAGAACAGAACTAGAACAGAACTAGAACCAGAACTAGAACAGAACTAGAACAGAACTAGAACAGAACTAGAACAGAACTAGAACAGAACTAGAACAGAACTAGAACAGAACTAGAACAGAACTAGAACAGAACTAGAACAGAACTAGAACAGAACTAGAACAGAACTAGAACAGAACTAGAACAGAACTAGAACAGACTAGAACAGAACTAGAACAGAACTAGACAGAACTAGAACAGAACTAGAACAGAACTAGAACAGAACTAGAACAGAACTAGAACAGAACTAGAACAGAACTAGAACAGAACTAGAACAGAACTAGAACAGAACTAGAACAGAACTAGAACAGAACTAGAACAGAACTAGAACAGAACTAGAACAGAACTAGAAGAGAACTAGAACGAACTAGAACAGAACTAGAACAGAACTAGAACAGAACTAGAACAGAACTAGAACAGAACTAGAACATAACTAGAAACAGAACTAGACAGAACTAGAACCTAGAACAGAACTAGAACAGAACTAGAACAGAATAGAACAGAACTAGAACAGAACTGAACAGAACTAGAACAGAACTAGAACAGAACTAGACAGAAGAACAGAACTAGAACAAGAACTAGAACAGAACTAGAACAGAACTAGAACAGAACTAGACAGAACTAGAACAGAACTAGAACAGAACTAGAACAGAACTAGAACAGAACTAGAACAGAACTAGAACCGACTAGAACAGAACTAGAACAGAACTAGAACAGAACTAGAACAGAACTAGAACAGAACTAGAACAGAACTAGAAACAGAACTAGAACGAAACTAGAACTGAACTAGAACTGAACTAGAACTGAACTAGACCTGAACTAGAACATGAACTAGAACTGAACTAGAACTGAACTAGAACTGAACTAGAACTGAACTAGAACTGAACTAGGAACTGAACTAGAACTGAACTAGAACTGAACTAGAAACTGAACTAGAACTGAACAGAACTGAACTAGAACTGAACTAGAACTGAACTAGAACTGAACTAGAACTGAACTAGAACTGAACTGAACTAGAACTGAACTAGAACTGAACTAGAACTGAACTAGAACTGAACTAGAACTGAACTAGAACTGAACTAGAACTGAACTAGAACTGAACTAGAACTGAACTAGAACTGAACTAGAACTGAACTAGAACTGAACTAGAACTGAACTAGAACTGAACTAGAATGAACTAGAACTGAACTAGAACTGAACTAGAACTGAACTAGAACTGAACTAGAACTGAACTAGAACTGAACTAGAACTGAACTAGAACTGAACTAGAACTGAACTAGAACTGAACTAGAAGAACTAGAACTGAACTAGAACTGAACTAGAACTGAACTAGAACTGAACTAGAACTGAACTAGAACAGAACTAGAACAGAACTAGAACAGAACAGAACTACAGAACTAACTCAATAAGAGTTAAACTAGAACTGAACTAGAACTGAACTAGAACTGAACTAGAACTGAACTAGAGCTGAACTAGAACTGAACTAGAACTGAACTAGAACTGAACTAGAACTGAAACTAGAACTGAACTAGAACTGAACTAGAACTGAACTAGAACTGAACTAGAACTGAACTAGAACTGAACTAGAACTGAACTAGAACTGAACTAGAACTGAACTAGAACTGAACTAGAACTGAACTAGAACTGAACTAGAACTGAACTAGAACTGAACTAGAACTGAACTAGAATGAATTAGAACTGAACTAGAACTGAACTAGAACTGAACTAGAACTGTACTAGAACTGAAGTAGAACTGAACTAGAACTGAACTAGACTAAACTAGAACTGAACTAGAACTGAACTAGAACTGAACTAGAACTGAACTAGAACTGAACTAGAACCTGAACTAGAACTGAACTAGAACTGAACTAGAACTGAACTAGACGAACTACTGAACTAGAACTGAACTAGACTAGACTGAACTAGAACTGAACTAGAACTGAACTAGAACTGAACTAGAACTGAACTAGAACTGAACTAGAACTGAACTAGAACTGAACTAGAACTGAACTAGAACTGAACTAGAACTGAACTAGAACTGAACTAGAACTGAACTAGAACTGAACTAGAACTGAACTAGAACTGAACTAGAACTGAACTAGAACTGAACTAGAACTGAACTAGAACTGAACAAGAACTGAACTAGAATATTGACGATCCAGACTATAGTCCATCTATAGTCCAGACTGAACAAGAACTGAACTAGAATATTGACGATCCAGACTAAAGTCCATCTATAGTCCAGACTATAGACCATCTATAGTCCAGACTATAGACAATCTATAGTCAATCTATAGTCCAGACAATAGGCAATCTATAGTCCAGAATATATAACAATCTAAAGTCCAGACAGGTTTTCTTATTTTAGCAAGTCAAGAGAACACTATGACTAATAAAATTTTAATAAATGTATAGTTATTTTAAACATATATATAAATTTTAACAGCTGACTAATGAATTCATTTGTTTTATTTAGTAAATATCAACAAACATTTTTATAGCGACAACAAAAACGTCTCACAATGCAGGTTTCAAAATTAATTAGGCGAAAATGTATTTACCTAAAATCTTGGCTAATTTACATAATAATTGTTAATTATATTAAAAAAAAGTACAGGGTGTAAAGAAATTTTTTAAACAATTTCATAATGAACATAAATTAAAATTGATAAAATAAAATTTTAAATTTTTTTCGTTTTTCTTTACATTTTAGTTTACCCAGTGGTATACATGTAGGACGTTCCAATGTTAAATCTGTAGCCGAAAGACGTTTACCAGAAATACGAGAATTTCTTATATCACTCTTCAATTCGGCCGATGAAATAGCACACTCCGATTTGGTTTATACATTCTTTCATCCTTTACTAAGAGATCAAAAAGAGGCTAAATTAGGTTTGTCTAAAATTAAAGGTTAGTTTTGAAAGCTTAAATTTGATAGAGAAAGAAAAATGATTTATTTTTTGTGTTTCAAACAGAAGTAAAATCTCAAACATCTAGAGAACATACCAATGAAGTGGGACAATTGAAATTATCAATGCAATATCGAAGAGATGTTTTGACAGTAATGGTGAGTTTGTATTTGTTAAAAAATTATTATAAAAAAGTTATTTATTGAGTTACTTTCTTTTTAGATACATCATGCCAAAGGTTTACCTTTACTGCAGGGTGGTCAAGAGCCCAATACTTATGTTAAATGTTATCTGAAGCCCGATGACAAAAAGGCCACCAAACGTAAAACCAAAGTTGTGCGCAAAACCTGTGTACCCAGTTATATGGAAACGGTAGGCGGGAAAAAACTAATTATCATTATTTTTTTTAACTTATTGTTGTTGTTTATTTTCCTTTATAGCTGGAGTATCGTATGCCTTTACAAATCATACAAAATCGTGTTTTACATGTTACCGTCTGGTCACATGATACACTGCAGGAAAATGAATTATTAGGAGGCTTTCAAATTGATTTAAGTAAATATGATTTACGCAAAGAATTAATCGATTGGTTCCGTTTGGGTAACATGCCACGTCACTGACATTTTGATCCTCAACATGTTATGGGAGTAATAATTGTTTAGAAAATCATCAACATTGGTAACACACAATAACAGGGATTTGCAACAGCAATAAAAACTGAACCATGGATAATAATTATTCTAATAACAACTATAATAAGCCTTTAAGCTTTAAACAACACACACACACACATACAAATCAATTAATATTAAACTACAAGGAATTGTTAATAACTAAAAAAAAATCATTATACTAATGCTAATAATTATAATATAAATTTTATGAAAATTTGTATTATATTTCTTTATAAAACTATTATTTTTATTTGTATAAATTTAACAGCTTTATTATAACAACATTCCAAATTATAATTATTTAAAACAACAACAACCACAACAACTCTTTTGCACAATTACTCAAAAAATTCTATATTTTATTAAACATTTATTTACATTTCTTTAAATATTTTATAAGATTTAGCTGCTTTTTGTAGTTGTTGTTATTTTCAAATGCACAATTATTTTTTTTATTATTAATTTATATATATATACATTTACTTTATGTAATTAAACAAACAAACAAACAAATTGTATGATTTCATAAAATATTATGTTAAACTTATCTTATAAAATGTATTTTTATTTTTCTTTTAAATAATTTTCACTAAAACAAAGTTCATTTTATTCATTCTTTAGAAAATGCGCAAAATTGTAGACAAAATTTATTTCAAAATACCAAACAGTTTTATAATTATAGCAATATTTATTATATACTAAATTATGGTAACCGAACAAATCTCTACAAACAGTAAATTATCTTATTAAAATTCAGTTTTAATAAATTGAGATTATAATTTTCACTATCACATTGTTTGTTGGTCTTTTATTTGTTTAAAATTGAAAAAATCTATATCTGATTTTATGTTTCTAGACTCCATATTGCAGAAAACCCAAAAAAGTACCAATTGAATGACGAAAAAGTACCAGAAAGTTTCCTTATTCCAATTGTAGAACAAAAAGAGCCAAAAAATTTACTATGAAAATCTATTTCATTACATCAGGTTTCGATATGTCTAATTTTATGTTTCTTAAATATTGCAGAAATACCAAAAATGTACCAGTTGAAAGACGAAAAAGTACCAGAAAGTTCCCTGTTATAGATTTTCATTCACTGAGGACTCGGAATGTTTAATTTTGAGTTTCTTGGTTCAATGTTATAAAAGAATCAAAAAATACTTTGAAGAACAAAAAGTACCAAAAAATTCACTATTATAGATATTATATCACGATACTATATGTCTGATTATACATACATATGTTCTAGATTCAATATTGCGGAAAACTCATAAAAGTACAATTTGAATGAGGAAAAAGTACCAAAAAATCCTTTTCTACAGATTTTCATTACCTTAGGAGTAAATGTTTAATTTTATGTTTCTTGGTTCAATATTATAGAAAACTCAAAAAAGTACCTTTGAAAAGTAATATTTTATAGGTTCTCATTTACTCCGAGCTCTACATGCTCTATTAAAAAAAAATTGAAAAAGTACCTTTTGAAGAACGAAAAAAATACCAAAATAATCATTTTTATAGGTTCTTATTTACTCTGGTCCACACAATCTTAATTTCATGCTTTTAGGTTCAATGTTATAAATTCAAAAAGTATCAGTTGAATAAACGAAAAACTACCAATTTTATGTTTTATAGTAAGCTCGAAAAGTACCTTTTGAAGAACGAAAAGGTAACAAAAGTCCCCTTTTATAGGTTTTCATTTACTCCGGGCTCTACATTTTTAATTTTATGTTTTATAGAAAACTCCAGAAGTACCTTTTGAAGAACGAAAAAGTACCAAAAAGTCCAAATTTTATAGGACTAGTCTATAGTCTAGTCTATAATCTAGTGTATAGTCTAGTCTATAGTCTAGTCTATCGTCTAGCCTATAGTCTAGTCTATAGTCTAGTCTATAGTTTAGTATATTCTAGTCTAGTCTATAGTCTAGTCTATAGTCTGGTCTAAAGTCTAGCCTATGGTCTAGTCTATAGTCTAGTCTATAGTTTAGTATATTCTAGTCTAGTCTATAGTCTAGTCTATAGTCTAGTCTATAGTCTGGTCTATAGTCTAGCCTATAGTCTAGTCTATAGTCTAGTCTATAGTCTAGTCTATAGTCTAGTCTATAGTCTAGTCTATAGTCTAGTCTATAGTCTAGTCTATAGTCTAGTCTATAGTCTAGTCTATAGTCTAGTCTATAGTCTAGTCTATAGTCTAGTCTATAGTCTAGTCTATAGTCTAGTCTATAGTCTAGTCTATAGTCTAGTCTAGTCTAGTCTATAGTCTAGTCTATAGTCTCGTCTATAGTCTAGTCTATAGTCTAGTCTATAGTCTAGTCTATAGTCTAGTCTATAGTCTAGTCTATAGTTTAGTCTATAGTCTAGTCTATAGTCTAGTCTATAGTCTAGTTTATAGTCTAGTCTATAGTCTAGTCTATAGTCTAGTCTATAGTCTAGTCTATAGTCTAGTCTATATTCTAGCCTGTAGTCTATAGTCTAGTTTTTAATATGATATTTAGTATAAAATGTAGTCTAGTGTCTGTAGTCTAGTTGGTTAGTGCTTTAAATCCTAGAATGCACTATTTCTGTTAGAAGTTCTGTTATAAGTTACTAGTACTATTTAAAATTTCGTTTTTCCATGACTGATGTAAACATACATTTAAGACACTGACTAATTTAATAACTAATTAAATAAGGTTATGCTCCTTATATGACAAAATTTTGAGCTGGAACAAGTGCTTGTGTTGAATACAAATATTCCCATTAAAATGTTCTAGTATTACGAGTAATACTTTCTTTAAAGCCAAAAGTGGGCTAAAGATTTTGTTATACGCCATCATCGTCTCAGTTTGTTTTCAATTTTGTTGTTATTAAAAAGTGTAAGTACGGAAATAAATTTTTTAATTTTTCAAAAAGAAGCAACGATTATTAACTTTTAACTACCTTAACAAGATATTAAACTAAGGTATGACATAATATACTACAACTACTTATTATTATATAATTATTGTGTGCCCTATAAATTGGACAAAGGTCTGTCTAGAGTCTGGTCTATAGTATAGTCTATAGTCTAGTCAACAGTCTAGTATGTCGTCTGCTCTATAGTCTAGTCTATAGCCTAGTCTATAGTCTGGTCTATAGTCTGGTCTATATTCTAGTCTATAGTCTAGTCTATAGTCTTGTCTATAGTCTAGTCTATAGTCTAGTCTATAGTCTAGTCTAAAGTCTAGTCTATAGTCTAGTCTATAGTCTAGTCTATAATCTAGTCTATAGTCTAGTCTATAGTCTAGTCTATGGTTTAGTCTATAGTCTAGTCTATAGTCTAGTCTAGTCTATAGTTTAGTCTATAGTCTAGTCTATAGTCTAGTCAATAGTCTATAGTCTAGTCTATAGTCTAAGTCTAGTCTATAGTCTAGTCTATAGTCTAGTCTATAGTCTAGTCTATAGTCTAGTCTATAGTCCTAGTCTATAGTCTAGTCTATAGTCTAGTCTATAGTCTAGTCTATAGTCTAGTCTATAGTCTAGTCTATAGTCTAGGTCTATAGTCTAGTCTATAGTCTAGTCTATAGTCTAGTCTATAGTCTAGTCTATAGTCTAGTCTATAGTCTAGTCTATAGTCTAGTTCTATAGTCTAGTCTATAGTCTAGGTCTATAGTCTAGTCTATAGGTCTAGTCTATAGTCTAGTCTATAGTCTAGGTCTATAGTCGAGTCTATAGTCTAGGTCTATAGTCTAGTCTAATAGTCTAGTCTATAGTCTAGTCTAAGTCTAATAGTCTAGTTATAGTCTAGTCTATAGTCTAGTCTATAGTCTAGTCTATAGTCTAGTCTATAGTCTAGTCTATAGTTAGTCTATAGTCTAGTTATCGTCTAGTCTATAGTCTAGTCTATAGTCTAGTCTATAGTCTAGTCTATAGTCTAGTCTATAGTCTAGTCTATAGTCTAGTCTATAGTCTAGTCTATAGTCTAGTCTATAGTCTAGTCTATAGTCTAGTCTATAGTCTAGTCTATAGTCTAGTCTATAGTCTAGTCTATAGTCTAGTCTATAGTCTAGTCTTCTAGTCTATAGTCTAGTCTATAGTCTAGTCTATAGTCTAGTCTATAGTCTAGTCTATAGTTCTAGTCTATAGTCTAGTCTATAGTCTAGTCTATAGTCCTAGTCTATAGTCTAGTCTATAGTCTAGTCTATAGTCTAGTCTATAGTCTAGTCTATAGTCTAGTCTATAGTCTAGTCTATAGTCTAGTCTATAGTCTAGTCTATAGTCTAGTCTATAGTCTAGTCTATAGTCTAGTCTATAGTCTAGTCTATAGTCTAGTCTATAGTCTAGTCTATAGTCTAGTCTATAGTCTAGTCTATAGTCTAGTCTATAGTCTAGTCTATAGTCTAGTCTATAGTCTAGTGTATAGTATAGTCTATAGTCTAGTCTATAGTCTAGTCTATAGTCTAGTCTTTAGTCTAGTCTTTAGTCTAGTCTTTAGTCTAGTCTATAGTCTAGTCTATAGTCTAGTCTATAGTCTAGTCTATAGTCTAGTCTATAGTCTAGTCTATAGTCTAGTCTATAGTCTAGTCTATAGTCTAGTCTATAGTCTAGTCTATAGTCTAGTATATAGCTTAGTCTAGTATATATTCCAGTCTATAGCCTAGTATATAGTCCAGTCTATAGTCTAGTATATAGTCCAGTCTATAGTCTAGTCTATAGTCTAGTATATAGCTTAGTCTATTGTCTAGTCTATAGTATAGTCTATAGTCTAGTCTATAGTCTAGTCTATAGTCTAGTCTATAGTCTAGTCTATAGTCTAGTCTTTAGTCTAGTCTTTAGTCTAGTCTTTAGTCTAGTCTATAGTCTAGTCTATAGTCTAGTCTATAGTCTAGTCTATAGTCTAGTCTATAGTCTAGTCTATAGTCTAGTCTATAGTCTAGTCTATAGTATAGTCTAGTCTATAGTCTAGTCTATAGTCTAGTCTATAGTCTAGTCTATAGTCTAGTCTATAGTCTAGTCTATAGTCTAGTCTATAGTCTAGTCTATAGTCTAGTCTATAGTCTAGTCTATAGTCTAGTCTATAGTCTAGTCTATAGTCTAGTCTATAGTCTAGTCTATAGTCTAGTCTATAGTCTAGTCTATAGTCTAGTCTATAGTCTAGTCTATAGTCTAGTCTATAGTCCAGTCTATAGTCTAGTCTATAGTCCAGTCTATAGTCTAGTCTATAGTCTAGTCTATAGTCTAGTCTATAGTCTAGTCTATAGTCTAGTCTATAGTCTAGTCTATAGTCTAGTCTATAGTCTAGTCTATAGTCTAGTCTATAGTCTAGTCTATAGTCTAGTCTATAGTCTAGTCTATAGTCTAGTCTATAGTCTAGTCTATAGTCTAGTCTATAGTCTAGTCTATAGTCTAGTCTATAGTCTAGTCTATAGTCTAGTCTATAGTCTAGTCTATAGTCTAGTCTAGTCTATAGTCTAGTCTATAGTCTAGTGTATAGTCTAGTCTATAGTCTAGTCTATAGTCTAATCTATAGTCTAGTTTATAGTCTAGTCTATAGTCTAGTCTATAGTCTAGTCTATAGTCTAGTCTATAGTCTAGTCTATAGTCTAGTCTATAGTCTAGTCTATAGTCTAGTCTATAGTCTAGTCTAGTCTAGTCTATAGTCTAGTCTATAGTCTAGTCTATAGTCTAGTCTTTAGTCTAGTCTTTAGTCTAGTCTTTAGTCTAGTCTATAGTCTAGTCTATAGTCTAGTCTATAGTCTAGTCTATAGTCTAGTCTATAGTCTAGTCTATAGTCTAGTCTATAGTCTAGTCTATAGTCGTCTAGTCTAGTCTAG